TTCCTAGAACTATCGCAGAGTGGAACTCACTGTCACCAAGTACAGTAGGGGCATTGTCAATAGATAGCTTTAAACGATGTCTAGAGCTAGAAGTTCAAGGGTTAGGTGTAACAAGTCGATCGATAACCAGCTGCCGCCGCGCCGCGAAGCTGGTGTGTTACGCCAAAAGGCGGTTATACCGGCTATACAGATACAGATACATAACATTAGCTGTCTCCCGGTTAAAAACATCAACTGAAGATCAGTGGGAATCCTGCCTCACCTCGACGTCCTTGAGTCTGTGCGACAGGTCAGCAATGGACGCCTTCTGGTCTGCAATGGACGCCTTCTGGTCAGCAATAGACGCCTTCTGGTCGGCAATGGACGCCTTCTGGTCGGCAATGGACGCCTTCTGGTCTGCAATGGACGCCTTCTGGTCTGCGATGGACGCCTTCTGGTCAGCAATGGACGCCTTCTGGTCGGCAATGGACGCCTTCTGGTCTGCAATGGACGCCTTCTGGTCTGCAATGGCTGCCGTCAAGTGAAGGTAAACAAGAATGTTCATAAGAAGGGAACACACAAACAGCCAGAACTAGCGGCAGACGTCTCACATCGCCACGCCGCGTTTCTCCCGTTATTCACGTCGCCGTTGTACTAGTATTTACCCATATTGATAACTTAGCCGTTTTGTAGGATCAAATTAAGTGAAAACTGCCTTTAGAACTGAAGCAGCTGCGACTACACCGAGCTGCAATCCTTCGAACTAAAGGCCAGGTTTGGGTCACGGCACATTTGCCTCTGGCAACCACTAGGGCCCTGTTCATTTGTTAGATAGCCTGGGTTCCACACAAAGTATTTCAGTGACCCTGGGTCTGGTAGGGTCAGGTAGACCTACGAACGGTCAGTATCTGAGCGTAAGGCCCATTGGTGGAACAGCAGGAAGCAATTGTACACCTCTGCTATGATTGGTTAAAAACTCCCAGCTGTATCTTTGAATCTTCACCAGCAGATGAGATAAAACTGTAAATAAGGTGTATTTTGTCCTGGTGTGTTAGAGGACTGTTACCTAAACAAACAGGAAAGCCTGGCTTGTACACTACTTCTACTGTTAAATTAAGTTCTGCTGTTATTTTGGAAAATAAACTCCAACCACATCTAGAAAATTGACTGGTTAATGATTAACTGTTAAACCCAAGATTGTCTCCGATCCTGCTGTATGGTGGTGCCATGTAATATACACCATGTAATGTACGTATTATGTACCATGTAATTATAACAGGCTACCTGTGGTGTGAGGGGTCATCAATCACATCTTCTCCTCCCATGGCTGAGAGCCTTTCCTAAGGCTCACGGCCAGACCCAGGCTCGCTGAGATACTTTGTGTCCAGTGTGCTATAGGTCTGGAACCCAGGCTAGGGTTGATTGAGAACCTGATGAACGGTACCTTATTTCGTTTTGCAAATCCAGCAGAAATGAAGCGAGCTCGACAAACTGACTAGCCAACAAATTGTGTAGCCATAGCACTAAATTTGTCTGTAATGGGTTGTATCATGAGTTGGACGATTGGTTACTTGGAATTTTTGTCAAATCGATCAAGGTTACTTGTACGAATGTATTTAGTTAAATCAGATTCTTTCTTATTGTGATCATGTTATATGTACAATGTACTTCGTGGTGAAATAAGTGAAATGAAATGAGGCTTTCTTTCAACTTGTATGAATGAGTAGAAAAATTTCGTTACCGGCTGTAGTAAACTGTTGCAGATAACTTTCATATACACTGTCATGTATGTCAGGTTCATGGAATGATTTCAAGCAAGTTCGTGATGTTGTGTGTTCTTGGTTCCCTTAGCGACGCAGATGCAGACGCTAGTGTGTCGGAGGTCCCTATGGCCTGCGACCGCCGCCCTTGCCCGCTTGTCCGACTCCGGCAGTGCCGTTACGTTTCCCTCATTGACTCACTCACAGTGTTGAGGTATCATGCATCGGCTGCAGTGTGATGCTTACTGCAGATTCTTACATTCTGAATTGTGCTGTCCTACTTTGCTACATTTAGTTTATGTGGCAGTTTATAGAATCCAATGTGTGGAGCTTGAAATAGCCACCTGTAACTTGCAATTGTAACTGTAGAATATGGAACAAATATTACAAAAAAAGAAAAGAAGAACTAAAGCAAGTAATTCATGATTTTTCACGGTACTTTAATGTTCACTGTTTTCATTCACTTCTGTGCCGTGAACTTAGCATTACCGTTATCAAATGTTTTTCGCCCCTCCATCACCACCGTGACGTTCTGTGAACGTGTCCATTATTTAGCAAAGAAATTGCATCGGAAGTACATTACCCATAGCCTGGGTACCATCCCCAGTAGTATATTCGCAAACTCTATAACTGGTTATAGAGTTTGCGAATATACTACTGGGGATGGTACCCAGGCTACATTACCCATGCTTCAATTGAGTTTATGTCTGATAAAATATCATCAACATCGAACTATCAACTAACTGCTTATTATTAGAATTATTAATGAAGTTAATGATAAATATGAGATGGGCCCTAAGTACATAGTTTATTGCACAACGATTGCAACAGGTACATTGTACATTAATAAAAACAACAACAACACAATAATCTATTCAAACTAGAGTACTAAACTAACACCATTCAATACATAATATAATGGAATATTACATTGTGGTTATGACTTTTGTATGGCATATACATGTATACATCGGCGTAGGTGGACAATGATGCAGAGTCAGGGCATAATAGAAGCATGTTAAATGTTGTTTTGTTGTTTCGTGATATTTATCTTTTCCTTTCTTCACTATAAGACAGACATATCATTATGTTTACCGAAGGAAAACATATTATTTTTTCTCAGTTTCTTCTTCTTCTCCAAACAGTGACCTCTGAGCTGGTCAATGGCTGTCTCTCACCATGGCAACTGGTGTTGGGTTACATCATGTTGTAATTTTATAGCAGGAGGGATTTAGACTCCTGTCACCATATATGTGAATGTGTTTGAGTAAGAAAATAACAGAGCAGACCATATGCGAAGGTAAACATTATGCATTTGCTTTACAAATATTACTTTTCTAGTTAGGAAATTGTATTTATCTTCAATGTTGTTTTCTTTTTTTTTTGGCTTTAATATTTTCTATTGAATATATCTACATTTCTAAGCAATGTGCACCAATTCTCAGTCTTGTTATGCTAGTTGCAAAAGATTTGCCAAAAGATAATTCTCCAGAGCAAAGGTTGGAATATGTTTCAAGTTTACCAAAGCTCCTTATCTTTTGTCTCCAGTTGGAAAGAAATGCGTCCTTTAGTCTTTCCTTCAGTTTATTTCCGTTAGTCTCCACCAGACTTCTTTTGCGGGGTGAATACATCATAGAAATCG